TTTTTTTTTTGTGTAATCACATATTTTTAACTTCATTGTATTTCTTAAAAAATGTTCGTTTGATAAGCTTTCGTCAACAAAAATGCTATGCAATATGCTACAAAATTTTAATTTATATCAATTTTTTTAACCAAAAACACTTATTTTTTTCATAAATTATAATTGTTGAACTTAAATTATAAATACATGAAATTTTATATTTTTTAAGTTTGAGGATGATATAGATTCTAAGTTTTTAAAAACTTGATGATGCACATTTCGATATTTATATTTATAATAAATATATTTATATATGAAATGAGTGTTTTGACTTAATTTACAAGTTTATTATTTAACATTTAAAATCGGACCCCCCTGAAAGAAATTCCTAGATCCGTCACTGGCTCTTAGAAAGAGATGCATACATGGTTTATGGGCATTCCTTTTGGCGGAAGTGAACTTTGCTAGTAATTTCTGAATGGTATTAAAGCTATTGAACTAATTGTTATCTTATAATATGTTGTGGATCTTAGTAGGTGTTAAATGGACTGCTCACACGGGAGGATTGGAGCAATGCTATACAAATACCTCTTGGAGTAGTACCTGCAGGTTCGACTCTGATTTTTAGTTGTTTTATGTGAATTTCCAATTATTTGAGTTGAAATGCTTATGTTTCTTGCTTTAGGAACTGGAAATGGCATGGTGAAGTCACTTTTAGATTCGTGCGGTGAGCCTTGTGCAGCTTCTAATGCTACCGTTTCTATTATACGAGGTATGCTTAAGTTCATATATTTTTGTTGTTCTTGTTGCTAGTTTTGTTTCAAATAATCATATATTTATAATTAAGGAAATTCTCTCTTGTTCGTGTCTGACAGGGCATAAGTGTGCATTGGATGTAGCTACTATTTCGCAAGGACCCACCAAGTTTTTCAGCCTGTTAATGCTGGCATGGGGTATATGATTGATTGCCCAGTTTATTCTAGCAGTGTTCTCAGAAGCTAATATTTCAGTTTACATGTTCTTTTACTTTAATAAATGGATAAATTTTTTGAACTAAATCATTGAGTTTTTTCCTTGCATAGGTTCTCTGCTTTAGTGAGTTACTATGATGTTGGATGCTTATTATTGAGGTTGCACTGCAGGTCTTGTGGCTGATATTGATATTGAGTCCGAGAAATATAGGTGGATGGGAAGTGCTCGGTTAGATTTCTATGTGAGTTTCACAGTTGCTCTTTCTGATACAATTTTCCCTCAGAATCATGTTTTAGCAACCTTATTCTTTTACCTATATTAGCAAGGAACAATTATTTGTAGTAGTTGTTATCTGATTTTAGAGACTCCACATCATTAAAATATATATTTTGAGAAAGTTTATTTTTTTCGACACTAATTATGCCATTATAATATTTTACCTAATGCTATATGCCACGTGAGTTTCTTGGTGAGTAATTTGCGGTTAGGTTATATGCTTTTTTGTTATTTGAGATGGAACTAACTGCTTAGTGTTAGTTGATTTGGATCATCTCTTCGGAGTGCCTAAACTGTACTATGTTCTAATTGTGTTTGATTTAGTTTGTCGATAGTAGAAAATTAGTTACTACTAAGCCATTAGAAAAATCTGTGTCCCTCAACAGTAGGTTTATCTATCCTCCCGTTATTTTCAGGCCCTTCAGCGAATATTCGGGCTTAGAAAATACAATGGCAGCATACTATTCGTCCCGGCACCTGGATTTGAATCTTTTGGAGAACCTTTTGATTTAGAGAATCGAATAATTGTTGACAGGGAAAGTGGCATTAAAATTGATGATGGGCCCGCTAAGCCTCAGGAATGTGGTTATCAGGGTCCCAAATTCGATATAAAGATGTTAAACTGGCGAAAGATTGATGGGCCTTTTGTTTCAATATGGCTTCATAATGTGCCTTGGGGTAGTGAAGATACTATGGCAGCACCTGATGCTAAGGTTTGTCAGCCGTCTACTTTTATTTTGGTTAGGCAAAATTGCATATAAAGGTACCACCGGCTTTTGCAATTTAATCACCACTTTTTGTTACTTGAATTTAAATCACCCATCTTTCATATGTTTTGTCATATGTTTTGCAGTCTAAGCATAAAGTTAACTTCCGTTAGACTTTCCGTCTGTGCCGAGTCAGTCACGTAGACTTACTGTACGTGCCAAGTCAGCTCTAATCTAAACAGAAGTTAAATTTATGTTTCGATATGAAAAAAAAAAAAAAAATATATGAAATGTGGTGATTTAAACTCAAATAGCATTAAATTGCAAAAACCTTAAAAGTGGTACCTGTATATGCAATTTTGCCTTTTGCTTAATGTATCATGCGGCATTTTTCATTCTGAAATAGTTATGAGTAGAAAATTATCCTTCTCTTATTGGTATGCAGTTTTCGGATGGTTATCTCGACTTGATAATGATTAAGGAGTGCCCCAAGTTATCCTTACTTAAGATGATGACCGAGTTGAGCAGTGGAGAACACGTCAAATTCCCATTTGTATCTTACCTTAAGGTGTGTTCGTAATTTCCGTTGAGTAGCTGAATTCATCATCTCCGTTGTATTTGAATGTTTTGCGATGGAAATTTCTCTGTAATCTATAACTTATTTAGGCTATGTTTGGTAAACAAACGTGGTTGATAAGTTAGCTTATAGCTTTTAAGTGAATTTCAACCTTATAGCTGATAGCTTATGACTTATGGCTGAAAAGCTACCTTATGATAAAAATGTTTGGTAAAATTAGCTGGCCAATGGGCTTATTTGAAAAGTTATCCAAAGAAACTTATGAGATAAGCTCGAGCATTTTAAAAAAGTTCGTCCTAGCAAACCAAGCTTATTTGAAAACAGGAAGCTTATAAGCAAATCAAATAAGCTATAGACTAGCTTATATGCTTACCAAACACAACTTGTTTTTCACATGTAGTTACATATTCTATCTTATAAAAATACCCAAGTGATATTGATAAATTTGTTGACTTCGGGATTGACATTGTGCATTTGCCCGTTTAAGTATAAATTTCGAGTTACGAATGAATGATGTTTAAACAAAGTACAGGTGAAGGCCTTTGTCTTGGAACCGGGCCCACGAACAATCGACACAAACAAGGAGGGAATTATAGATGTCGATGGTGAGGTTCTTGCCAGAGGTAAAGAGACATATAAATGTGAAGAGAAGACACTAATGAGGTACGACAAATTACTCATTAAAGTGGATCAAGGGCTGGCTACATTCTTTTCTCCTAAATAGCACGATGAGGTTGGTTTTGCTTCTGCAAGTTAATGTGTACTCTTCTGCGTTTTATCACGAGACCCTTTTCAAGAAGTTCGATGATATATGTGGGCTTTAATTTTAAACATTTGTCGATATATTTTCTTTGATCGAAAGTTGTTATCTTTACTCGAGTGCAGTGCGAAGATTACTTGAATGTCATACAAGAATGGTGGAATAAGTGCTTGTTAGGAAAAAAGGAATACATTTTCAAAATTGTGAGTGAGTTCAAAATTTTTAGAGTTACATGTAACTGTTTGTTTTTAACCGCGAATTGACCCAGCCCGGTGGGTCGACCCGAGATCCGGAGTTGGAATCTATTAACAAAAGACCCGGTCATTGACCAGGTTTTATCAATGGTTTTGCATCCTGCCAGAAAATAAAATTCTGGCAGTCAAATTCAAATTAACATGAACCCACCAATTAAAAAATCTCCCAGCACAGTTAATTATTGTCCAAAAGGTCCTCCATTTGTGGTAAATTTTCCATTCTCTCTCATCAGTTTTATCACATAAAAGAGACAAAAAATAAAATAAAAAAATGTATGCTGCTCCATCCTCCCCCAAAACCTTGTATCTAGCAAGAAAATTTCCATCAAAATCTCACCCAAAAAAAAATAATAATAATAGAAAAAACCGAATCATGAATCATGGATCGTGACCCGTCTGCCAACAAGATTTACGTGAAGGATCTCGAGATGTTCGCCAATGAGGTGGACAACGTGAAGGCCGACATGACGGGCATGAAGAAGCTTTACGCGCAGGTTCATGAGTCGAACGAGCACATCAAATCGGCCCAAAACGCGGCCCACATGCGGCAGCTGAGGGACGAGGTAAACGCTGACTTGGACCACGTTGTCAGGCTGGCGAAGCAGATCAACAGGAAGTTTGATGGGCTTGTACGGGCCAATGCGGCCCAAAGGAGGGCTGCCGGTAGTGGGCCGGGCTCGTCTGACAACAATGCATGGGCCTCGATGATCTCAGAGCTTGGGCTGAGCATCAAGCAAATGATGCGGAGGTTCCAGGGGCTCAGGGTACAGATGGAGACCGACCACAGGCAGATGATTGAGAGCAGGTAAATTACAACTGATTTTCAATTTTAATTAACCCAATTTGGATCCCTTCTAATAACTTGCCCTCAAATTCAAAATTCTTCTAAGTTTTTAACTAGTTTATTCAATTTATTACTCTGAATGCCATAATTAAAAAAAAATTAAAATATGTAGTAAATATGTAAAATAACCTTTTTTTTTAAGAAAAAAAAATCAACCGCCGGTTTCAGGCCTTAACTCGTCATCATCATCACCGTCATCGTCTCGCTTCTCAATGTCGACAACTGGCTCGAAAACGGCGGGCTAATTAAATTGTGTTTTGCATGAGAATATATGCAAAGAGACGAAGAAATTCATAAATTTTTTGGTACCTACACTATTTTGTAATCTAGTTTTTCGTTCATTGCCGATTATCAACTTTTTCGAAAGTAAATTTTAAGGTTAACTAATTAACAACGGTGTCCGTGAAAAGTGAAAACATCTTTCATTGATCTCCCTATCAACGTCTCGCAAATGAATGAAGCATTATCTTTACTTGAAACTTTTCTAAAGATTCATGAACGATAAACTAATTATAGGTAAAAAAGAAGACCAAATCAACTCTCGATAATGAATTTTGTACCTTCGAAAATCCCTTAAGAGGAACCCTTACGATGTCATCCAAACGCGCCTCATCCACTTCAATATACAAACCCAACAAAATGGATGATGCTTGATTGGATAGAATCGAAAGGATTCATGACGTCAGCCTCCATTTTTTTATTTTTTTTTTTTTTTTTTTTTGGGGTATTAATTTATTGTGGCCTGAATGTTCTTACAAATTTTGTTTCTTAATTACTCATAAAAAAATTTCATGCATTTTTTGTACACTGTTGGAATTCACTAGTTTGGAGTTTGCTAGGAGTAGTGGGTGAATCACGAGTTAAGGATGATTTTATTTATTTTTCAAATGGCTTATATTTGTAAAGTATTATTATCATCATCATCATCATCACCATGAAATTAGATTCCCTTCAATACCTAGTTAAGCATTTGCGAGCGATTTCTTGTTACTTACATGTCAATATATTGATTTTATTTGGTTGATTGATATACTATTATTCAAGATAAAATCATGCATAAATGAGTTACACGCATAAAAAATTATGCAATTTCAAATCCAATGTCAAAGATGAAAGAAGAAAAACATTACAAATTTATAAAAGGAGATTCATAGGTAAACCACATAATATTCACATCTTTAACACGACTTTGGGAGTTATGAGTTTATTATAGAGTTGTTAATGAAAACGAATCGCTCCTGAGCCTGACTCAGCATGACTCGACTTGACTTGTTTATATATAACTCATTTAGTTAACAACTTGGCTCCATAAGATGTTTTTTTATATAATTTTTACATTTCGACTTGTTAAAGTTCAACTTCATCTGGTTAATATTAATAAATGAGTCATCATTAATATTAATTAATATAAACCAGCCGAGCTTTAATAGTTCAAGTTAGAGCTCGATTATTAAACCACTTATTGGGCTTGATATAATTTGGTTGATAGTTGGTATTTATTATTTAATTTTATCATAAATATAATAATAATTTTATATAATAATAATTTTAAATTTATTATATAATAATAATTTTAAATCTAAATAAATTTTTATTTCATGTCTTTAGTTTTTACTTAGGTTGGAGATAATTTCCACTTCACTTTTCGCAGGAAGAAAATAACTGCAAAACGAAGCTCTTTCTTTCCTGGTCTCTCTCTCATAATCTCTCTCATAGAGCAATTCCAGCAAATCTACATTCACTTTTTTTACTGCAAATCCATCGAACGTTTCCATATTTGTTCTTTCTTGTTTGTAGAATCCGCGGAAATCAACCCAAACATTTCGATTTTACCCCTGTCAGATTTAGGTTTTATTGCGAAAATTTGGGGGGAAACTATGCAGTAATTGCTGTTCTTACTCTTTGCTCATTCCTCGTATGTTAAATATGTATCTGAAAAAATACGATTGAAGTTCTGTAATCTTATTATTCGATTGCTCCTAAACAATCATGGTTACGTAGATTCCATTTTCGCTCTGTGTATCTGTCTAATTTTATTGATGTAATTGCAGATTCAGACCTAATTTCAAACCAATGATCAAACTCTTCGATTCTCACTGCCACTTGCAAGACCCAAGAATCCTAACCCTAGCCGCAAAACTCATTACCGAAACCCTAGAAATCGGCGTCGCCCACTTCGCCGTAAATGGAGTATCCGAAAAGGACTGGCATTTAGTCGAACAAATGAGCAGAACTTACCCTTCTGTAGTCCCAAACTTTGGCCTTCATCCCTGGTTCATAACCGAGAGGTCTCCCAATTGGCTGATCACTCTCAAGGAATTCCTCTCGGCCAATCGGGCTGCGGCAGTTGGCGAAATCGGATTGGACAGAGGCTTGAAAGCAAAGGAAATAGATTTTTCAGACCAAGTTGAAGTCTTTCGCCAGCAACTCCAGCTGGCGAAGGAGATCAATCGTCCGGCCTCTGTGCATTGTGTTCGTGCTTTTGGCGAACTGCTCGGGATAATGGAGTCCGTGGGCCCATTCCCTAGTGGTGTTGTGTTGCATTCGTATCTTGGTTCGGCTGAGATGGTCGATCGGTTATCTGAGTTGGGAGCTTACTTTTCGTTTTCTGGGTTTTTGATGTCTTTGAAAGAGAGCAAAGCGAAGAGGATTGTGAAATCGGTGCCTATGGATAGGATATTGTTGGAGACTGATGCACCAGATGCTCGGCCAAAATCGGGAGGTTCTCTTTTGTTGGTCGAGGAAGGAGAGGGTACTGAGGAGGAGAGTTTAAATCACCCGGGTAATATTCGTAGTGTGCTTAAGTATGTTGCGGGTTTGCTCGAGATGGAGGAGAAGGATCTTGCAGAATTGAGTTATGGTAATGCAGTTCGGGTTTTTTCGTACGAGGGTTCGAAGTTTGTGAACTGAACTGAAAAGTTTCTTTGTACTATGGTTTGATTGATTGTACTGGTTTCATGTGAGCGAGTGGTGTTACGAGTTTTGTTATGTTATAAATGTCTCGGTTTTTTTCAGATGTGTATTGTTATGTTATAAATGTCTCGGTTTTTCTCGGATGTGTAAATTTCGCTTCGTGGAAGTGATCTGGATTGGTGAGTTTGTACATGATGTGTGGTTTTTCCAATCACATGAAGATGATTTAGAATGGGAGATTTGTCAATGCACTTGAATTTGAATCCTCTGGGTGGTCTGGTGTGAAATTCTGTTATCTTTTATTTTAATTTTTGGGGGATAATTTTATTGTACCCGTCGAGCTAGAGGTTTCCGTACTTTGCTTGCTTAACGTTGAGAATTATAATTTTTATTTATTTTACTTTTTTTTTTTGGATGTGACCATCAATGGTTTTCCCATAATGTAATCCTAATAATTCTTATTCTGATGATCGATTCAACCTCTGATAGAAAAGATACACCATTGATAAAAAGGATACACCCAGTTAGTTCCTGATTTTCCAAATCAACCATAGGAGATAATTGAAAGACTTATACTATGTATGAAGCTATTGGCTTTAACAATGTTACAAGTGACTTATCCTATCTATTGTGGTGGATCAAATATTTTTTATATGTGAAACTCAATTTTAACAATTGACTTGTGTAGAATCAATTGATCATATAATCAATTGATTTTTACATTAATTATATAATAAAAATTATTACTATTATTATTATTATTATTATTATAAAAAAAGTCATTTACCGTCATTAACACCGCTGGCAACGCTGACTGACGTTGCCGTCAATGACCAAAAGCCAGTGGCGTTGACCTCTATTAACCGACAACAACAACACTATCAGTTTCAAGAATGCACATTTAGTTTTGAGATAATACTATTTAGTTCATACAAAATTCATATTTAGTCCATACACAATTGCATACATAAGTTTAGACATGGCCAAAACCCAGTTCCGGGCCGATTCCGAGTCGTTTGGTATAAAACCCTGAACCGGCCCGGCAATATGCACGGCCCGATTTCAGGCATTTTTTTAATTTATTTTAAAATGGTCATATTGATCCGATGGTCCAGATACAATCTGGTCGTCGGGTCTCCAACGGCCAACTAGGCCCGGTCTAGATATTTAAAAAAAAAAAATGTCGAAAATCCAGACCCGTCTTCCGTCCCGACACGGCAGGTTAAAAAATTTAAGACCCGGAACCGGCTCGTTTGTAGCACGAGTCCAGTCGGGCAAGTTCTGAGCCGACTCCACAGTCTGAGCCAACCCTGGCCATGTCTACTTAAGTTGATATCAATTACATTTTTTGAAGCTTTTTACTTCAATATAATACATTATTGGTTCATACATAATTGCATCCTTGGTGCATATGTAGTTTCAATTTCATATCAATTGCATACTCAGTTTCAAAATTAACATATTTGCATACTTGGTGCATGTTTAGTTTCAATTTCATATCAATTGCATACTCAGTTTAAAAATTAACATACATATTACATACTACATATTTAGTTCGTACATAAATGCATATTTAGTTCATACATGATAGTTTGATATCAATTGCATATTTTGATACTGGTGTTGAAAGGACACTGTTAGTTTCAAGATTCCACAACTAGTTCATACATAATACATATCTAATTCATTCATAATGCATACTTAATTGATATCACATCAAGCATCGATCTCCCTAGTTGGTCAACACTGTCGGTGGACAACAGTAACCGCTGTCAGTCAAGCCCGGTCAATACCGACGGTCAATCAATATTCAAATAATTAAACAAATAAAAAATTAAATCTTAATCACTTCCCCTGGCTAGGATTGAATATTTGAATTTCCCATTCTCATTTCAAGAATTGGAACTCATTTGAATATTGATCCAATACCTATATATACATTCATTTATTTTGCCATTGGATAGTGTTCTCAATTCATATACACTTTTTTTTATAAGATGCAATTATATAACAAATGGTAGGATGTCACCCACATAGACTCTAACATTCATAGTATTTTTTATTTAATTTTCAGTTCATATAAACTATTTAACGGTCTAGCATCTATTCACTGTTTGCTTCAAACATGCATTTAGAAGGGGAAAAAAAAATCAAAACTTACATCCACAGCATATTCTTGCACCATAGTACACAAAAAAAACCATTATTCATACTTCTTTTGCCTCTGCAGTCTAGATTGGATGTCTCCACTATAAGGCGAAACATGGTACGCGTACTGCTGGAAAACCGAGAAAACGAGCATCTCGGCACAGACTAGAGCATTCTGAATGGCTTCCTCAACGTGCTCCGTGTCTAACCAGAAATGATGAGATCGGACGATTCCCATTGCAACAAGTATGTCGAGCATTACTCCCTGTACTCATTTCCGCAGCACATTTCAGACCATAAATTAAACAATATTATAAATATTATTCTAATTGGAATAACGAAAATAGTTCTCCACAAAACCAAAAGTGAACACCGTAAATTGTTAGAAAATTCCATCGAAGGGTATTCACCACAGTAGTATTGACGCTAGAATCTTTCATATGAGTTATTTTCTTTCGATATTGATTTGCATAGTTCAACTTTAAATTTTCGGATAATTTATCATGCAAGTGTGTAAATCACTTGTAAGAATATTATTAATAATGCTGTCGAAGTCACAATCACAAGCAATCTAAGATTTCAATATCCCTTCTGCCAAACAAGGATGAGCAAAGTTCTTGTTGCAATAGTATGAATATCAGCAATTCATGAATATCAACATTTTTAAGTTAACACGTTCAAAGGTATAATACAGAACAAACAATGCTTTTTACCTGCCAAAAGCAGAAGAAAACGATTCCTTTGATACAGATGAACTTTGATAGCGGCTTGTGAGGCTCCAATTCTTTGGCAAAAACGTGATAGAACACGACCAACGAATACATGGCCAAGGAAAAAGATAAATTGAGAACCACGGTGAATGTCCAGCTCAGCCAATTCGGGTAAAACCCAATAACTTGCAAAGTTATCATCAAGACTGAACACAATGGACGGATGACGACAAACTGCCAAGTCCAGTACTTGAGAAGTCTCAATGTCTGCTGATTCAAATGCGTCTTTCTAGGCTGCAATATTTTTTTTTCCGTAAAAAGGGAACTAATTTTAGAATCAGTTTTGACAAAAATCTGCCAGAATCAAACAATCTATGAGTAGCGCTTTCTACAATTCAACATAGTTTTCCCCAAACATAAAGAAAACCCAGGAATTATCACCAGCTACTAAGTACCATGAAATAAAAATTCATCTTTTCTAGGATATTAAAGCAATTCAGCATTCTTAATTATCATCTTAGGACAAATTCTTGAACAGAGAGAGAAAAACAATCTATCACCTGGAAAAGGGTCATCGGAAATGAATGGTGGATCTCCCTTCCTTTAATCTCATCGGGCACGACATTTTTGCTCAAGGAAATATTCAAATAACTATACATTAGAGCCAAGAACTTCGCAATAGCCTGAAACAGCAAGAACAGCAACACTATTCACATCACACTCAAAAACCTACACATACATACATACATACATAAAAATTGAATCTTGAACATACCAAAGCCTCGTAGCATTCCTTAACAGAGTCCAAAAACATGAAAAACTGCTTGCTGCCTCGAATATCAAGCAACCCCACAAACGAGTCGACGGCATAAACAGGGGCCATCAAGATGATAATGATTATGGCCTTTTGCTCCTTGGGATTTTTCCAATAGAAAAGGTGCTGCGAAAGGAGCTGAAACGTGAAGTGTAGAGTCAACATCACCGAAAACCCTGAAGCCGCAAGGGTCAGTTGCCGTCGATCCATGCTAGCGAAGTCCATGGCTCAGTGTTTGCCGATTGAGGGGACGAATTAAAGCTCGCGAAAAGGCAGTCGAGTGATCGAGGAGGAAAGGGGGAATTGAAGAGAATCAGATGTATCGGTAGATTTGAAGAAAAGTGACATTTGAACATTGGATTGCAAAATCCTGAGAGAGAGAAAAGTCAGCAAACCTTGCCTCAGTGTCTTTACATATTTAGCCCCGTCATACTAGAAGATTCACAGTAATGGTATTGGGTAAATAAAATTAAACAATTCACATTAATGCTAGTTTTAGTCAGACTTGACTACATATTTTTTAAAAAAAAAAATTGCATAATTTTATAATCAAATATCATAATTTAATAAATAATGTAAATATAAATAAATGTATGATATTTTACAATATAAGAACACAAATATGTATTTAAATTTTTATATATTGCCTTTTTATGCAATTCTAAGAACCAAATTATGAATTTGTAAGTTATAACAATAATTTTATGGATTTGTATGTTATAACAATAATTATGAATCAATTCTCGCATATTGGTCTTGGTCATCCAATTTGTTATAAACAACTCCCAATTCCATGTCATTTTTTCTTAAATAACAAACGTGAAGAGTTCAAAAGTATTTTATCTTTTTGAAGAAACAACAAGCAGATGAAGAGCATATAAAAAAATATATAAATATATATTTAATAATGTGTAAGTTTTTATTTGATTATGTTTTATATAATTTTATTATTTAATACTTACCTGTGCAAGTAACATTACTGGGGAATTATTGACGAGGCCATGGGAGGTGAAGATGGTTCACGAATACCGTGAAGCAAATTTTGTGGCCGACTGCCTGGCCAAAGTTGCCGCACGAAGCCCAACAGGTTTCCAGCTGTTAGATGAGCCGCCGGGGGAAGCTCGACAATGGCTACATCATGATGTTCTCGGGGTCGCACACCCACGAAAAGTTCTAATATCTAGCATCTAGGCATTTGCCTCTCTTCTTTGTACCAAAAAAAAAAAACATTACTGGGGAATTAGAATTTAGACGGGCCTGACTTTTGGCAAACATTCCTTGTTACTGCCCATTATAACCGTGCGAACTTTTTTGTAAAATTCCTCTGTAAGGGTAATTTCGTCCTTCGACAAAGGTCTGATTTAGAAAGTACAACATTGTTAAGCTCCGATTGGACAAGCTCCAAAGACCAAAGCACAGCCGCACAGGCTTTTTTATCCAATGGCGGTACGTTTGAACTGACCGCCAAGCTTACTTTACTTTGTTCGGGTTTTAGGGTTCTTTCAACGGCCCCAATTCCCAAAATCACAATCGCACTGCAGGTACAGTGAGTGATTTCAGTAAAAAAATTCTTATTTGTAAAAATTGTTGTTGTATGGATGATTCTGTGGTCTTGTCTGAGATATATGTGTTTTGTGTTGTACGATCTACGGCAGATATGGGTTTGCTCGAGGCTCGGAGGATAATGAGGTTGTTCATCTTCTTGTTAATGGCCGGAATACATGTTCACGGTTGGGGAAAAGAAGGGCACTATGCTATTTGCAAGATTGCTGAGGTGTGAGTGTGTGTGTGTGTTAAAAATCCCATGTTTGGGATGTTACTATGTATTTGCTTGTGTTTAACTTTTACTCATTCAATATCAAAATGGGTATTTTTATTGGATGACTAATAGTGTTTGGTCTGTGGCATTGATTCCATTATTATTGGTGAGGAGTAATTCTTTCCTATTTATAGAATTTAGAGATGGGGGACATAATTCACATGGATATATTAAATCTTGTTTGGGCTGCTTTGATGGTAGTCTTTACTTTTTCCCTTTCACTCGCTCAGATTATTTTCTGATGAACTATTGTGAAAATGTGATATGATAAATGTTGTGAGTTCTGGGATGTTTAGGAAATGGCTTCCAGATTTGTTTTCTGTTGGACCCAAATTGAAGAAATATAAAGATGAAAAAAATACCAATACTGCTTATCGAAAAGTGCAATTGGAAGTCGAATAAGATTCTGAATGGCCTCAATTTTGGAAAATGTTGTGAAGTATCTTGTTCGAAGCTTTTGTCCACGGAAATCTGATTGGAAAGTGTTTTGTTGTTACAGAACTATCTTACCGAAGAGGCTTCGGCTGCAGTCAAAGCATTGCTTCCAGATATTGCTGAAGGTGATCTTGCAAATGTTTGCTCGTGGGCAGATCAGATTAAGTTCCACTACCGATGGAGTAGCCCGTTGCACTATGTAGATACACCTGATTTTAGATGCAATTACCAGTATTGCAGTAAGGGGGTTATTATTTTTTCTTTCCCTTTTTAATGGTACTTTTGTCAATTTATTTTACTGAATAAATATATAGACTTGGTATTTGATTGCTCTTCGGAAAATAGAAAGTACATGTTCTCATGCTTCCATGAGATGATTTACCACATCAGTCGTGCTAGTGATTGCACGTTAACATTTGTGTCCCGTTTTATCCACTGGTCTTTATGTAAAAGTTGGGTTCGATTCCTATTACACTCTCTGGTTTGTTTGTGGCATGATAAAATGTACTTATTGCTTCTGGTAGAATCTATGTCAAGAATATTACTTTTGTTTTACCTTTTACCGTGCCTCAGCTGTGGTGTCCTTTGTTCATTTGGACTTGAGTAAAGGCTAATTTGGAAATAGAAAATGAAAACGTATAATACTTGAGAAGATATAATGCATTTTTAAAAGTCTCTGTACTTTTGCAATTATCATTTTCTTGATATAATGTAGGGGACTGTCATGACTCTCAAAAACGTGAAGACAGGTGTGTAACTGGGGCAATTCACAACTACACTCTGCAGCTAATGCCAGAACAAGATGACACCAATTTATCAGCAGCTAAATGTATGTATCAAATTTAAATGTGCTGGTTTTTTAATCATGATAGTTGATAACTCAATTTTCCCAATTACAGACAACCTGACAGAGGCACTTATGTTTCTATCGCACTTTATCGGTGATATCCATCAGGTCAGATAAAAACTGTAGCGCGCTGACATTGCAAATATGCTAATCAATTATCACACTATCTAGGAATTCAATTCAATTTTTTTTATTTTTTTTCAAGTAATGGCTCCCAGGTAATTTGTAAGGTCCACAATGTAATTTGGTATGCTAATTTATGATTGCTTAATTTTACATGACAAAGGTCATTTGACACACTGACTTTACTTGCTGTCAAAATCTTACTTGAGCTTTGTAATTCAGCTTTATCATATCTTCTAAATGTAAGTTTGGTTTGGCAGCCATTGCATGTTGGCTTTATTGGAGATGAAGGTGGGAACACAATTACCATCCGATGGTTCAAGAGGAAAACTAATTTGCATCATGTGAGTTAGAAGTAAAATTGTCGTAAAAAATTTGGTGCATCCATTATGCTGTGCTTTTATAACTTGTTCAGTGAATTGATATAAATCTTGGCTATTTATATTCGATTTATATTATTATAGTCCATTTTGAGTTATTTATAGGTGTGGGACACCATGATCATTGAATCTGCTCTGAAAACGTTCTACAACAGGGATCTTGCAACCATGATCCAATCTATTCAGAACAATATAACGGTATGCAATATGAATGTAGCTAATTTTACTGGTGATTTCACAACATGTTAAAGTTATTTTCTTCCAGAAAGTAATGCATCATATTGTGCAACTGCAAGTATTCGATTTAGTGACTCCTTTCCCGAAATGTATTTTCAAAGCAATGATGATGAAATTATCATTTTTTTTTGGACATTTCTTACATTTAGTTATTTATTTTGTGTAAAATCTTTAAATTCGTATTCCGTTACTCTTTTCGATTTTGTAATATCTAGGATGAATTTATGTGGTTGTGTACTTATCGTGACTGTTATTTTTTACCCCTTTTAACTGCAAGAAGGATGCCTTTGTTGACACATATTCTAAGGAAAATTGCAATGGTACAGTTTGTCCAGACCCGTAAGTATATACTTTTTAGTCAGCTTCTGCTTCCCTTTCCTCTCTCTGCTCCACCCCTGATTTTCAACAGGCACTTACTAACACACACACACACACATACAGAGTAATGCTATAAGTACATAATATTGTACATAGGGGTGTACATAACACTCACATTGAGTGGGACCCACCAAAAATAAAAAATTAAGTGGACCCCACTACATGTGAGTGTTATGTACACCTCTATGTACATTTATTATGTACATGTAGCATTTTCCACACATATATTATAATGAGTTTCAATATATTTTTACTTTTTATTTTTTTCCCTTTTCAGGACCCTTTTTTTTTTCTAGTGTATACTGAGTTGATTAATTGTGACACGATTGTGTTTACTGTATGAATCCCCTTTGCAGGTATGCTTCTGAAAGCGTCAGTTTAGCTTGTAGGTTTGCTTACAGAAATGCCACTCCTGGAAGCACATTAGAAGGTATATAATAACTACCTGTAACTTTTGCATTTTGTAATGAATTTTCCCACTCTATCTAACCATTAAGCCCGAGCAATTGAAATTTTTCTTCAGAATTAGATGGTTTTCCTTTTCATGATAAATTGGATAAACTCAGTTAGTTTTCCTCTTATGTTGGCTCTTACCTGAACACACGCAGTTTTTGCCGATATGCTGAGATAGGTCTTGTTATTATTCTTTTACATGGCATGTATGCTAATTTTTATTTTATACGGTTTTTTTTCTGATGCAGATGATTATTTCCTATCTCGGCTGCCAGTTGTCGAGAAGAGACTGGCCCAAGGGGCTGTCCGTTTGGCTGCTCTTCTTAACAAGATTTTTTCCGGACACAAATCAATTGCCATTAAATGATTGATTGATAGAACTGAGCTATATATTTATGTGGGGTCCACTTAGGTCCATCTTGGCAATAACTATTTGTGAAACAAAGTGTAGTTGATTGTTCTTCAAGTCAACAAATGCTGAAAAGCTAAGATAACTGTTGCTTCTTACATTTGTCTTTTGTAGTCACATGAGACATGCATATTTTGCTTTGCTCTCATGTTTGCTTCTACTTACAAGCAACTTATGAAAGGGCATTTGAAAATGTGACCAGAAAACTGTAGCTTGTAAGCATTGTAAACGTTCTAGATAGAATTTCTGTTCATATATATATATATCGAACAAATTCTCATCCTCATGCCTTTGTTGGATCATATATTGTCCGATTCGCAAACAGTGAAAATGTTAAATTTACGAGGAATAAAAAATGTATTGCTTCTTGTTATTTTTCTTTGTTTTTGTTTTGTCAATGAACCATATGTTGAAGCATGGAGCAAGGAAGGTCATGTCATGACATGCAAAATTGCTCAGGTACACTTTTTCCCTCGTTTTCTTTCATTTTCTTTAATTAATCAAATCACAGCTGATATATATGACTTATTTTTGTATTTCTTGTATTATTTCATAAATTGGGAAAAAAAAAAGAAATTTTTGGAACCAGAAGCAGCACATATCGTTCAAATGCTTTTACCGGATTATGTTAGTGGCGATTTATCTGAACTTTGTGTATGGCCCGATCAAGTAAGACATTGGTATAAGTACCGTTGGACGAGCTCTCTTCACTTCATTGACACACCTGATCAAGCCTGTAATTTCAAACATCAGAGTAAGTTAAGATATCACCCATTATTTATCCAATTGTTGTTGTTATTATTATTATTATTATTATTATTATTATTATTATTATGGATGACTTTAGGGGATTGCCATGACCAAAATGGAGTTAAGGATATGTGTGTGGCTGGCGCTATTCAAAACTTCACGAGTCAGCTTTCACATTACATGCATGGAACCTCCGATCGACGCTGTGAGAAATTATTTTCCTTTTTTTTTTTCTTTTTCTTATCTTT